GGGGGGGGAGTGCGGGCAAGGGGTGGGGATTTGATGCCTGAGACTATCCCCCCCATGTCGGGCGTTTGATCGTGCGAAGCGACCCCGGGGTCGGGACATTTGACTGACCGACAGAAGCCTGGTATCAATTCAGAAGCGGTTACCAAGTCCGTTCCTAGAGGCTTTCTGAAAGTCACGCTGTTGGAGAAAGTTGTGAAGTTTTCATTTGTTTTAATCGCCATAATCCGATACTTTAAACTGTCATCTAAACAGATAATGTCTATTTTGAGAAAGTTTTTATCTTCAAGTTTCCATCTGATTGTAAAACTCGATTGAAATCGAATTACACAATGAAAGTCAGAGGATTTTTTTACGGGTCACTGTTCCGACCTGTTGAGCAGATGCATGTCATAAAGCATTTTACGTTTCATTAATATTATAATAGCACGGTCAATCTTCCTAGAGTGATTTTGTTGTTCAAAATAAGAGATGCTAGTGGAGAGAGAAAATACTTAATTACAGCGAGTAATTTAACGGAGCTTACGTTTAGTAAGGACGTACTTTTGAAGTGTTCTTTTAGTTCGTTTATACAGTATTATACTATTGTTTGTTTAGATTTTTTCCCCTGGGGTGGGGGCTTTTTTGACACTTTTGATTGACCTTTCCTTTCCCACCCTGGGGAATTTGATCAAGAAATTTTAAAATTTGTCAAATCCCCACCCCTTGCCCGCACTCCCCCCCCCCCACGGGGTTTACATTCATAGGTGCATTACGTTAAAAACTGTTCACGTATAGGACACTTTCCACTTCTTTATTGTGAATTGTAACACACTATCCAGCAACAGCCACTTGTACACGGGTTAACCTTACAACGTTCTGCACAAGCTCCAACAGCTGCCAGGCTGATCTGTAATGTTCACGTTAGACGCTTCGATCACATCACTCCCACCTTATTTAGCCTCCACTGGCTGCCAATTAGATACAGAATTCAATTTAAAATTTTACTTTTTACCTATAAAGCCTTAAATGGATTCGCTCCTGCACATATTACAGAACTATTGCTGGTTTTCAGTGTCACACCATTCAAAATAGATCAAAATAATAATCAAAACCGTTTAATAGATAAAGTCCAGAATCTGGGAAATGAGAGGAGGTACATATACAAAGACCCTCGCCAAGATTTCAGGTCAGAGGAATATTTCGTATACGAGATATCCGAAGAAATGTTTTACCCAAACTTATAGAGATTTGTATGAATACGCCATGCTGGTGCTCACCTGGATGAGCTCCAACATGGCGGACAGAAACCAACAGAAACATCTGTTACGGAGGTTTACTACAAAAGCGTGAATTTATTCTTCGAGAAACTCATAAGCGTTAAAGTAATTCTTTTTCTAATACATGAACTGTTTACATAGGAACATTTCCTGAAAAAAGTCATTTTCTAACCTACATGACAGCTCTCTTGGCCGTCATGTAAATGCCACGTCCCGCAAAAGCTTAGAAATTCAAGCGTACTCTATCACAAAAACAAGAACCCTTTTGAAGTGAGAATTTGTGTAAAAATTAGTTTTCAGCTGCTCTAATGCATCGTGAAAGTAACATCTCGGTAGGACCGACGGTTTTTTAGCTTAAATTTTCGTGACGTCATGTGAAAACCAACAATTAAAACTTAAAATTATTCCTCGATACAATCTAACGTCTTTTGATGACAAATTATTACTTTAGCATCCCAATATAAGCTCTCGCTACTCTTGGTGACGACCGTCCATTTACCGCCGCGGCACCAAAACTATGGAACGATCTACCGCCGGTGGTTATCCGCCATATTATTAATGTTGCCGCTTTTAAACGCCTACTGAAAACCCATCTTTATATTTAGTTTATTCCCATTTTATTGCTTATCTGATATCCAATTCTTCGTTTCCTTAATTTTACCGTAAACTATTATATGCAAATTCATGTACATGTAATTTTCAGCTTTTTATATTCATATTTTTTTATATACACTGTATTAGTAAAATCCAACTAGTGGTCTATTATCAATGCTGCGTTCTGATTGGTTGAGCTACTACTAGAAATATGTTATATAGCCCACTAGTAGCGAAAAGCGCCGGATTTTTGGCGGCAAAAAAGGATTAAAGTCTTGCTTTAGGTTGTTTTGTCTCGATATTTTTGACTAACTAGTTGGATTTTACTAAAACAATTATTCCCCTCGCCCTCATGGCCTCTGAGTCAATAGTCCATTGACTTAGAGCCCATTCGGGCTCGAGGAATAATTGTTAAATATACGGCACTATGTTGTATTGTAATTATTCTCAATGTAATGTGGGTGTGAGCATATTTCCACGAAACGCGCTCTGTAAGTCATTAAATTATTATTACTATTATTATTATTATTATTATTATTATTATTATTAAGACCATAGCTAATTGCAAATCAAACAGAAAAAAGTCAAATGGGTGCTTTCATCTTGCAGTCTTGCTGGTCTTTCCTCGACAGCACATACTTTTTACAGATGCATTGTCTTGATAACTGGTCAAAAAGTACTTTTTCGGATAACTCTCTTAAAGGCTTTCCGAAACCTAGCAGTACGTAACGAGTAAGCAATCGGGTTTAGCAGTGGGTGCAGAAACATCAAACAATTCACATAGTGCCAATATGAATTGAATTTGCAAAGACAAGTACTACACCATGCATCTATGTTTACAACGACGATTAAAGGAGTCCAACAAGCAATAAATAACCAAACCAATATGAATGCCGTAAACGCAACATTTCTCTCCTTCGTTTTAATTTTTTGTATAAGAGGAGACTTTTCCGTCAAAGATTGTCCATCTAATAACCCTTCCCCTGAGGTCTCCACACTCCGATGCAACTGTCTTTTTACCACAAAATAAATCGTCGTGTAGCAACTAAAAACTACTAGTGTTATCGGGATGCCAATAACGTCATAAAGCCAAGTTATATATACTTTTAAAAACAAGAAGTCCCTTCGTTTGATGCTAATAGGCAGGGCCAAGATTAGAGCGAATGACCATATTGCTACAAAGCAAAGGTATCTGTTACAAGTCGCTAGTTTGACTCTTGTGAAGGGGAAAGCAATAACAATCAGCCGTTCGACAGCAAGGCCAAGGATCGTAAAAATCGAAGCAAGAAAACCGACGTTGTTGATAGAAAGTCCTGCTAGTATCAGCGTTTGGTTGTCAGGAAACCAGTGAAAAAGTCCGGCCAGAAGTTCGCCTGGAAAGCCGATGAGTAAATCACATACAGCAAGATTTAAAATGAAGTAGTTGGCGGCTGTTCCCCTAAGCTCCTTGTATGGATCTTTCCAGATTACCAACATAACTGAAGCGTTTAAAGTAACTGTTAATGGACAAAGCAAGAAGACGATTACCGCCTCTGGAAAGGACACCCTCTCTAAAAAGAAAAGAAGACGATAAAAGATAGCATATCAGTTTTCAGCTGGCCTTTAATTTACATCAATACATGAGGAAAAAATGGGAATATTCCAGTATATAGCCCGAGCTGATTCAGTTCCCCTGTGATAGCATTTAAGTTCTTGAATTGCTGAGTATACTGTCCAGCCCTTGAGATCACTGTTTATAAATGTTGATAAAGCCGCGCTTATAAATCTACGAACCCACGCGCGAAGAGGCTAGGGAAAAATCGAAAAACAAATCGCAACTCACCTGGTGTGCAATTCAAGTGTCCAATAGTCCGCTCTACCCCGTTCTGGATACCACTCATTGCCGTACGCCTTTCGATTTCTTCGTACAATTCCACGGTTTCTTGAATTGAACAAGGCTTCTCTTTCACTTATGACACCCATTCCAGTGAATGCCTATAACACGACATCTATGTTACTTCCGCTGTTTCCCTGAATAGTTCATCAGCATGTCACGCGATTATTAAGCAGGAAATTATTGCATCATCTGCTTCATACTCTGCATTTCTTTGGGGATTAAAGGGGTGGGCACAAAGAATACTAACAAATGACCTAAGTAATTAGTTAAGAGATGCTCAAAATTTATGAAAAAACAGCTTGGTTGTCTTTTCCAAAAATAGTCAAAAGCAGTTAATACTAGGGTCAATATGGGTGGGAAGGCTGACTGGCTTGGAGCATTACGCTGGGGAATCTCCCTTTTAATGCGTCATCCGCGCCTGACCTCATGAACCGAATGATTCCGCACCCAGGTCTAATCAAGAGATCGGTTTTTTTAAAAGCCTTTAATTTAACCGCCATTACTATCTTTAGTCGCTTCCTGAAGTGCATTATTATTATTATTATTATTATTTGTTTTTTGTCTTTAATAATATTATTATGATTATTGTTCGTTCTCACTCTTCACGTTCTCCTAACGCATCCAAGGTGTCCTGACTGGCCTTATAGCACTTTCTCCAAGATGTGTGTTTTTCCTAGAAGTGACGAAATCTTATGGACCTACAATAGATCAGATTGAAATTTAACTAAATTTCTCTTGCAGTCTTTTCTTTACCACTCCAAGGAAGAATATATAAACACTGGGACCACAATATTCTTTTAATCTTTGTACTTTTAATTATGACTTATCTATTATATTAAAAGGACAGTCGTTTGGCCGTAGTGGGAAGATCAACTGATTATCTGAATTATGTCCTTCTCCACCTCTTCCATATCAAACCATAAAAAACTTCAACAAACAAATTTAAAAAACTCAAAAGACAAGAAGGGGATGTTTAAAATAACATCTTTCCGCTCTCGGGTATCACTAAGGAATGGGAATAAAGAAACGGCAGAGGACGAAAACAAGAAAGCATTAAAATTATAGTGGCTATTGCCCATATTCAGGAACTACGTCAGATTATTATGGGCTATGACAGATCTCCGTACCCCTCGTCTTCCCGCTCCCCCAGTCCTAGCACCGGGGTCATGGAGCTCGAAATAAACATGTGAGGCAATTCATGAACGTTGATATTGCCATCGAACTAGAAATGCATTTCTCCTGAGCACTCCTGTGACGAAATGCGTGTTCAGATCTTCACCACATAAAATGTATGTATGTTTCATCGATACTTACGCAAGAAGGAAGTTCATGAAGAAACGTTGTGCTGTTTACTTCTCAGGTAACTTGATAATGGATTCATTAGAATACTTTGGTTATCCAGCGCAAAAGATGGGAAAGTAATATTCATATCGGAACCCCTATTGTTATTTGCATCACAAGTTTATTCGTTAACCGTATACATGGCTTACACCTATATGGTGTGAGCGATCATTTTGCCAGACAAGAATTAGTTTGCATGCTTGAGTCAGGATACAGCACGATGGGTCTAAATTTAGCGAGGAAACTGCGGACTTACTTCATCAGTAATCAAAGCTATTAAAACAATATAGAATCGCGGTGAGTGAGCTTGCTTTCTGAAAATATTAAATATCTTTCTGAAATTAAACTTCAAAGTCGTTTTAATAGTTGAATTGAATTCCTGTCAAACCCTTTCAATATACTTCAGTAGAGCACTGACAGTATACGGTTGCAGTAGTCATGTCGAAACTAGGCGGTTGGTTGGGTTCTCTTTACCATTAAAAACTACACATTTGCTAGGCCTTACTGCACGCGAACGTTATGGGCTCCTTAGCCTTAATTGTATCATCAATAGAGAATAAGATACCTCATTATCTCTTGCTTGTACAATAAAATTTTATAGGCCAGTTCAATTACCGTGAGTACTATTTATGAAAAAAAGATGCTCTTTACGATTAAGTCTTCCGTAATAATAACCGAAATCCCATACCTAGTAGGTGACCTATGCAAACCCAAAGGGCTTATCACTTTTAATAGATACATAAATTTAATATTACAGTGAGACCTCTTTTAAGCGGACCCCCAATTAAAGGTAAGCGGACACCCTCTATTAAGCGGACACTAAGACGGCCCGAAATTAACATCTTATATCTCCCTTTATAACGAACCCCTATTCAACGGACACCTCTATTAAGCGGACGCAGGCACTAAAATAAATTGTATTTGGCTAATTTTTATCGTTAAAAACACTTTGCCTGCGTCGCAGACGTCCTAAACCTTCTGTATAGTATAAACTATATAAGATGGTTTTGACGAGTGCGTGAGCCGGCGGTAACGCAAGCTAAAAACACCAGACTGAACTGACAATTATTATAGAAGTATTGGATTACGTCCTTGAAATTCGCACCTTTGTCGATTAATAAAGATAAATCAATACTTTTAGCTGTCAATAAACTGTAGATTAGACCGATATCGCGCCGTATGATTGGGATCCGCGATCAAAGTTCACCAAAGCACAAAGAACAAAACAGCACAGCTTCCTTAGCTCCCCTAACAACATGGAACTTTATCCGGCATAGTACAGAGTAACCGTTGAATGTTAATCGTTCACAAACATTGCGCGACACCCTCCATTATAAGGACACTTGGGAAGGTCCCGAAAGTGTCCGCTTAATAGAGGTTTCGCTATAATTCATCAAAAACTTTCCCGGGTCTTCTTGTCGTGTAATTGTCTCCTGTACAAATCGTCGGTGTTCTTCCTCAAATCATCATTTTCATAGTGAGACTTACATTTCGCGAGAGGTGTTGAGGTTACTGACTTTCTAGGGGGGAAGGGAGGGCTGCACTCCCTTATTGGGCCTGCACAGGTACGTGGCGCTGAGCAAGATATGGTTTTTAGGGAACTGTGTCTGAAACAGTGCACAGTTTCACTGTTTGGCGTCAAGGGTTGTTTTTGCATAGAAGCCTTTAGGGTGTGAAGGCTACAAATGAGCGGTCTGCCTGCATTTGCATTGCTGAGTATACTTTCCGGCCATTGACCAAGATCACTGCAACGAAAGTTCATAAAAACGGGGAACTTAATTCTACTTTAAGGCACGCGCAAGAGAGGTTACTACATAACAAACCCAATCAGAAACAATAGCATCACGTTACCCAGACCGGTTTTAGCTAGATGATGTCATAGTTTAATTAAAATTTAGTTGCGTCATATCCTTATCTGGATATGTCATTGTTTATTTGTATGGGTTGTATCCTTATTTGGGTATGATACTGTCCAAGCTTTGTTTTTGTTGGTGGACATCTCTGAAAAAACAGTTTGCTTGGTTGTCGGTATTTTTCTATTGTTCTAAAAAACATTAAATTCGATTAAATTTAAACTGACTTAAAAATCACTGCAAATCTCAGTTCCGGTTCATTAATTAATTCTTTGGGTGCAAACCGTGCATATTCAATTCATGGGGTTCCAAGGCAAACTACTTTTTTTTTAGCACGAGAGACAATCTTTTCTTTACCCCATACCCTACTTGTCCCCAATTCTCTCCTCCGCAAATTTATAATTTTTCCCCCACCACGACCACTATAAATTATTTCTATTGCCTTGCCTCTTCCTCCTCTACCTCCTCCTCCTTTTCATTATCAGCATCATCTTCCTCCTCCTTTGTATCGTAAGATAAATGTGGGTTCGATGACAAGATCACAATTCCATTGGGTTTCCGAGGAAAGGACTCAAAAATTCAAACACAAAAAAAAAGGATTTGTTTTTTTTTATTTTTCGTCCAAACAAACATCCATTCATTGCGGGACACCCGATAAACTTAAAAATAGGATTACTCAGTGGGTTTGTCGAGGCCTGGGTTAAAGGTGTGTTCGGAGCATATGAATGATTGGCAAGCTCTCTCGCTAGGAGACCTAAGACAAAATGAATTTTTCCCCAAAAGTAAATCTTGAAGTTTTCTTGTGCCTTAACGTTTAATTAAGGTCACGTGACATTTCACGTGACCAAAAATTAAAAATGAAGAAAACTGACGAGTTGGTGGCGAATTTTGGATGAACAAATTGGCATTTCTGAAAAATGATAAACACACCTATCTTCCTACTCTTGGAAGAATAAATGTACGCGAAGTTTAAAATTAAAGTTTTCAATAATTCAAGATTAAATTTGGGCAGTTCAAAATGATGTTTTCCCTCAATATTTTTTATTGAAGTTCAATGGACGGTCATTCCAAACGTGAAGTGTTAGAAATATTTGATAATGAATTAGAAAAATGTTATCGTTCGATTTCTTTTCTTAAACGGGCCACCAATTAGTCAATAATTTACGATTTTTTGGAACATGGTCACGTGACATATCACGCGACTTAGTAACACGAGTTTTGATTCAGCGCCATTATCTATGCCGAAGTTATAACCAATAAATCATTGTCCACAGGTAAACCCCTGAATCCCAGGCCTTAAACGACCGAATCCATCAGGAAATTGAGTACTGAATTCTTTGTCTTCTTTTTTTTTTTTTTTTTTTTTTTTTT